TCTGATGAATCAGTTATTGCCTTTGGGGCTGCTGGTGGTAGCCCAATGGTAGCTGGAGGTGGGGGACGGGGGACATGGTAGCTGTCTTCAACTGTTGGAAGGGCTGTTGCATGGAAAAGGACCACCACCAAAAGGGAGAACATCTTCTAACATGATTGAATGATTCTCCACTGAGAAAGGATTAATATACTGATTGCAGTTTATTGTTTATTCCAGGAGTCCCATTGATTCTTTGAGGGTAGTGGTACAGGAATGAAAGGTAACTTTGTTACTCTACTATTCTGGAATGTTAACCCCAAACTTTAACATATTATGACTTTTTTCTTGCTCAAGATGCCGGTAAATGTTACCTCAAATCAACTTTGGGTAACAGAGATGTACCAGAGACCATGGGGAACTATACCAGTTTGGACATTCCTCTCTCCAAGCTAAAAATGGCTTGGACATAGATTAATGTTAAATGAAATTGTTTCTGGCACACTTGAGCCTAAAATAGTGTACATATTAGTATTTTTTCCTTCAACACTACTATATAATGCTTCCAAATCAGTCTCTTGAATTCCTTGTCTATTTCCTCCTTCTATCTATTCAGTAATATAAGCCAATAACAATAGTTTATTTCTTCTTAAAATGGTATTCATCCATGACCATGATCTCCATCACCTCCCTCGATTCTTTTCTGACCATGACCCCTACATTGGCTACACTCTCCTTCATTACTTACTTTGACCCTTTGGTAAACCAATTCAACTCTACCCTATCCTCTACTCTCCGGTCCTTTGCTCCTTCCATTGATGATCATGCTTTGCCAAACCTCAACCCTAGATTATTCATACCATCTGCCTTATTCACTCCTATGGATGTGTTGCTGGAGCGAGTTGGAAGAAATAATGAAATTTTTGATTTGATTGATTCCACTACACATCTAATTTCAACTTGGTCTCCACTGCAGCAAGGCAATCACTCTCCAATGCAGCCATTCCAAACTTTCTCACCTTTTCTCAAGCCTCCCACAGTACCCTCTCCCCCTCTGGAAGTCCTCCACCTCTCACTTGACTGAAAAAACTGAGGCTGTTCGCCAAGAGCTCTCTCTTCATCTTACGTCACTCAGATATCTATTCCTACTATCTCCTTTCTTCTGGTCTTGAAGTTGTCTTTCTTCCAAGCCCAGTTCCCCAACATGTACCATGGATTGCATCTCCTCCCACCTTTTTTAGCAGACTGCCTTCATTATCATCCCTGCTCTCTTTTGCCTTCCATCTCCTCCTAACTAGCACCTTCCTAGATGCCTACAAACATGTCCATGCCTCTCCCATCGTTAAAAAAAAAAAACCAAAAAAACAACAACAAAATCCAAACTCATTTGATCTAACCATCCCCTAGCTATCATTTCATGTATCTTTCCCTTTACAGCTAAACTTAACAAAACCATTTACACCAGATACCTCCAATTCCTCTTTTCATCTCTTAACTCTCTGCAGTATGACTTCTGACCTCACCAATCAACTGAAACTCCCCAGTTGCAAAGTATAGTGGCCTCTCAATCTTCATACTTTCTGACTTCTCTGTAGCACTTAATGCAAATCATCATGCTCCCTCCCTTTCCTGGACATTGTCTTCTCTCTTAGTCTTTATGATGTGGTTGGCTCTCTAACTGCTCCTTCTCTGTCTCCTTTGCTGGATCTTTCTCTAGGTCATGCCCACTACAATGTGGGGAAGCTGTAATAATGTTTCATAATTCAAACAAAACACAGTTATATAAAAGTTTAGGGTTCAAGCCGTCCTGATCTTGATCTGTAGACAACCTCTAGAAAAAAATTCCGAGGCACAATATTGACAATGGGACAAGAGAAATCATCTCTTTTCCTAACACACCCCACTTCAATGTTTCTGCTTCTCAGTATTTCTCTTCAGAAGAACTGGCAACCATGGACAAGTGACAACTTTCAATGTCTTGAATGTCTGTATTTTCTACAATATGTACATGAGTTAAATCTGCCAATTTGAGATCAATGAAATTCTGCTCCCCAATTTTTTGATAGGAAGGGTAGAAAAAAATTGAAGTGGAAGAAGATACTATAATTCTCCTAATCTCGGTTCACAAAGATACTGATGGTTTTGATCATGGTGTGTTTGTAGCCACTGCAGATATGCCAGCCCCATACCTATTTTTTAGAAATTTTGCATATGCAATAACAGAATCTGAGATCACTGTGAGGCCCTAGTTTAAAATACTAGCCTAGTTTTAAGAAGCCTATTCTTTCTGGACAAAGAGCATTTCTCTTCTGATTATTTTGATTCTGAATTACAGAGCTCTGGCCTGTGTAAGAACCAGAGTTAAGTCCATTATTCAAATGACCAGCTCAATACCATGCTGATGTGAGCCACTGTGATATCTAACTAAGCAGGGAATTTCTGGAAATAATGTTAAACTGTGAACATCTTCATAAGGTTATCTTCCCTGTGCTTAGAATCAGAGTTCTGAGGGGAGAAATCTTGTTTACCCAGAAGAAATAATAGCTACCATTTATGTATCACTTTAAAATGTGCAAAATGCTTTACATATGTTAACTCATTTAAACCTTACAACAAACCTGCGAAGTATGTATTATCCCCATTTAAAAAAGAGGAAACAGAGGCTCAGGGAGGGTAAGTGATTTGCCCAGGGTCATGCCACTAGTAAGTATTTGAGATAGGATTTAAACTCAGGTTTTTGTGACTCCATTACTTAAAAATGACCTTTGGAAGGAATGTTGCTTTAAGACACACATTTACTATGCTTCATTTTTGGATTTATTCTTACTTCTATTTGTAAATATTGCTAAAGCTTCAAAAATTTTGATTCATGATTTTCCAATTTTTTTTAGTTATTTTAAAATAAATAGAATGACGTCATTAAAATTAAACTCACTCATATGGACTAATTTGGAGTAAGGCTGTTAAAAAAATGGATTTTTCCAATTTTTAAATACAAAAAGTAACACTAACATGTTACTATCCAAATTGAGCTACAGTAATTACACTTTACAGAGGATAAGGGTCTGTTGTAATTAGCTTATGAAATAAGAATTTGGAAACTGCAAGGTTATAAGAGCTCAAAAGTAGCTTATTTTTCTAAATAAGGGAGGCATTTCCCTTGGAAATTGGTCTATTTTAACTCATTTTTCTTTTTCTTTTTTTTTTTTTTAATTTTTAGGCAATTGGGGTTAAGTGACTTACCCAGGGTCACACAGCTAGTAAGTGCCAAGTGTTTGGTCTGAGGCTGGATTTGAACTCAGGTCCTCCTGACTCCAGGGCCGGTGCTCTATCTACTGCACCACCTACCTGCCCCCTTAACTCATTTTTCCCACTCTAAAACTTCTTTCCAGGAGTTTCTTTCCTCAATTGTTGGGATCTGCATTAAAGATTTTTCCCCCCTAATACAATGTTGGTTAATTGGCTACATGAAAAAAAAAAGTATTGTTAAGCAATATTCCATAGGTTCAGTGCCCTTAAAGAAAAAAAAAGTTATTTAGTAACAGCCAAAATACAGAGCTAAAAATGAAATTCTTCTCTGCCTATCATCAGAATCTCTCTTCAATTCAGCAGCATCTCTTTTGTCCTTGACTCCTTCTAGATAGAGACTCACTCATCTTGCTTGCCTTCTTTTCAATCCGACGACATCTCACCTCTCAGAGAGGTTGGAGAGAGGAGGATCACAGTCACTGTCATCAGGCAAACTCCTTGTCACCTCTTGCTGCTGCCTGATTAATTCCTGGGGCTGATTTCTGATCTTCTGGACTCACTATAAAGTCTGGACAGCAGTTCCCTGAGGACAGGCAGGAAAGGCAGCCAATACCCAGAGCAATGTTATAGTGGGGTTTCATATGACTTAAATTGGGTTATTATATGATATATTAACAATATCATTTTAAAATTACTTGGGGCACCATTACACAGCATGTACACAGACCTATCAGCCACCTTGCATTTCAAGGCACAGCTAGTATTTAAAACTACATAAGTATTGAATCACTTGTGTGAACTAGGGCAAGTCACAATCTGAGATTCAATTTCCTTATATGCAAAATGAAGATGTTGGCCTAGATAGCCCGGAGTCCCTCTCAACTCAAGATCTATGATCCTATGAATCAGAAACCCAAAAGGAATAAATCACCCCTTCATTTTAAGTGACCAGCCTGTGCCTAATCTGTATTAAAGGAAGCAGTTATTAAACTTGGGCCAATAGCTCTGTTTGAAAAGCTAATTGTGAACCAAGAAAGAGTTTATTCTCTTGTGCATAGGACTGAATCCAGAAAAGATGACTTTAAACAGAGGAATGTCTTTATAGTTCTAGACAAAAATGTGAGGTCAAATATGTGGCTTTTAAACCCCTAAGCACCAACATATTTTCATACCTGCATTTAGCTAACTGTTCAATCTAGCTATTCTGGGCAGGAAGAGGAGCACCTGGTTAGAGTTCCTTACTCAAATGTTCTGAGTATCATCTCTTTAATGAAGTTTGCAGTTGCTTTCATTTTTTCTTTCATGGCCCTCCCTTTCCTTGCTTTTTCTGTCAAAGAAAATAGCCTGTACTGCTCACACCACTAAAGCTGTGGAAAGTCCCTATGGGAAAGGCAGGATAGAAGAAATCTCTTTCCAACAAGTTTCCAATATGATAAATCACTTGCTACAAATCATCATGATATGAAGTCTTCTAATTATTTAAAAGGTGATTCTTTTACAGTTAACATGAGGTTATACCCTTACCTACTACTACAGTGAACAAAATGGGGGAAAACTCCAGCTCCTGGTCACAATAGGAAATAACATAAATATGAAAATGTGCTTAAAAAGGAAGTTGTAGAGATCAAAAGACATAGTTTTGCTTTGCGTCAGTTCTAGTCCCAGGCTAGTTTATGAGTCAAACTAAGATTTCAAAACAAGGCCAAATCATGAGATTGAACATTCTTTTCTTTTTCCAGTATATCTGATTCATAAATGGACACACTGGAAGAAACTTGTTTTATCCAACTTTATTACTTACAAGTTACCAAAGTCCTTTAAGTGCAGGCCTGACCATGCAACTCCCCTACTCAATAAACATGGCTGTTGCCTCTACCATACAAATATGGCACTCTGGTAGGAAAAGCCCAGAATGCATCTTCCCATGTGAGATCCTACACATTCCTTTCTCTACGCTCCCACTGTCACCACTCTAAGCAAGGTCCTCATTACCTATTATCTGGACAATTAGAATAGGGTCCTGATTAGTCTCCCCTCCTCTGCACTGAAGCCCAGAGTAACCCTAACTCACAGTTCTGTTTATTTTCTTACAAAAAAAATTTTTTAAAACCCTTTAGTAATTTCTATCATCCTATCCACTTAAGTTCAACCTCTATAACTTGGCATTAAAGATAATACACAATTTGACTTCAAATTATCTTTTCAAATATGTCTCACTCTACTGTCTTTCAAGTGCCCTATGCTCCATTCAAACAGATCCCATTCAATCAAATGATATTTGTAAATATTTGTAATAAATATTTGTAAATATAATCAAATGAAAAAATATTTGTCAAATGCTTATCACAGTGCCTGGCATACAGGAGGTGCCTGATAAGTGTGTTCGCTTCCCGTCCTTCTCCATTTACTAAACACATCTTGCACCCCACCCAAGTCCCCACCAGTTAAAATCCTACCTATCTTCAAGACTTGGATCAAACACCACCCCTTTCCTATGAGTGACAACTTGAACCGCCCCGGCCTAAACCTTACTTCTTGTGAACTCTAAGGGCATTTATTTCATGTTTCTCATGAACATCTCATATCCTAATCTGCATTCTAATTTCATACCCCTTAGTCCTCCTACTAGAATGAAGATGTTTGAGGGCAGTGGCATTTACAATTTTCCAAACTGCAAAATGGACATGCTTTCTCACATGGTCAATAGGAAGAAGAAAAAGTTAGAGCTAAAATTATGATTAGCTCAAAACCAAGGATATTAGTTAGGTCCCAACACTGTTTTCTTTCCTGTCCAAAATCAACCTTAAATCATGTTTTATCAGTTTAAATACTACCTCAAAGAAGCTCTCTCTAGTCACTTAGCTGGAAGCAATCTCTCCCGCATATGATTTCACAAGACTTTGTACTCCTTTTTATGTACTTACCACATTCTAAGTTATCTTTATCTGTGTATGTATCTTACCTAAAACTACTAGACCTTAGGTTCTATGATGGCAGGAACCATGCCTTACATGTCTTTCTATCCTTCCCAGCCCTTAGTATAACGTAGTGCACACAGTGCTATGCTTGTTAAAATAACAGAATGAGTGAGGGGTTAGATTTTAAAAACTGGAACCAACCAAAAATAACGGTCAGTTTGTTTTTCTTCTCTTTTCTCCCAATGTTTCCTAAATGCTTCCTATATGTTAAAACAGCTTATTCACTTTTCATGAGTTAATTTTAATAAAAGATGACAAATTATCATATGGACTGATAATATCTGGAGACTTCATGAAAATCACAGGTATCAGTGGTCTCTGTAACTATGGGTCCTAGAAAATGCAAGCTCCATGCAAGAGAAGCTTTTGGGAATAACATGGAGAACATCCTTTTCCCTTTCTGTGTCTATACTAGATTTTCAGGAAGGTTCTTTCCTTTAGTGATTTAGGAATTCTAAAACACCTCTGCTTCTACCTCAAATTAAAAAAAAAAAAAGACCAGGGCAAAAAATCTTTAATCACTCACTGGGATTTCATATTCAATTATTAGCAGATTTGTAAACCATTTAACTTACTTTGCTTTAAACCAATAGTCCAGTCAAGAAAGATAGGCCCAAAATTTGTTCTTTTATAATGACAAGCATAACTAAGTACAAATGAGTTTCAATGGTGTAGATTGTTAGCATGCTGCGTTGCATTATGTCAATAAAATAATCCCTTTCCCCCCACCTTTCTCCCCACCCCCCCATCATTCCCCACCCAGGAAAATAAATGATTGTGCACTGCATGACGATACCATTAGGTGTGAACTTTGGTTCATGCAAAATCAGCTCCCACAGAGGCTGCATCAGAAGCAGCGGCCTCAGCACCCAAAGTCATTTTTTTTTAGCTGTTGTCCATATCTTCAACCATGTTCCTTCCATAACACCAAGTGAATACTGTGGTCAGGCATACTGGTGGCAAAAACCAAACCCATGTCATTCTGCCCATCTAGTCCATTCAGCCATGACATTTCACCTGCCAAGAAACTTGAGCCCCTTTTTGACTTCCTGTACTCAGGCAGAGGCCAGCGGCTGATCAGGTTCTCTGTCCTTAAGTCCATGATGTAGAGATAGCGGTTGTCAAATAACAGGGCAAAGATATCTCCAAAGCCAAGTAATGCCAAATTGGCTAACTCTGGAGTCTTGATAACCCTGCAGGAAGGACAGTTAAGAGCGATAAATAAACAAGAGCAGAATTTTGCTTAGGTTACTATCATCCCAGCATGTCACAACTAGAGGGAAACCTTGAGATCATCTAGTCTGCTTTTCTTATTTTTATGAATCAGTTTTAGAGCCAGAAGGAACCTCAGAAATCATTTAGTCCAACTTACTCATTTTAGAGATGAGGAAATCAGTGAGGAACCTGGTGTACAGAAGTAACCAGCTAGTTAATCAACTAGAATTCTGGACTCCTCACTCACAGTTCATGATTCTTGTCACTACAATGTAGAAAAGGTTTCTCAGTGGCTTCACAAAAAGCCTATTAATAAACAGTACATATTGCGACAGCTAAGTAGCACAGTGGATTGAGTCAGGAGGACTTGAGTTCAAATCTGGCCTCAGACACTTGACACTTACTAGCTGTGTGACCCTGAGCAAGTCACTTAACCCCAATTGCCTCACAAAATAAACAGTGCATATATAAGCATTTATGCCCCCCCCTTTAGTTTTTAGCTACAATAGACTTAAAATGATTTAAATTAATTTGATTCAAACAGAAAAAACACTACCTGAGAATATCATAGCTGGCAAAGTCCCACTGATAAAGTCCTAGGGCCGAACTACATACAATATATTTGCCATCAAAATGGAGTCTGGGCTGCAAACAGATACTTCGATCCTCAGATACAGACAATGTTTTTAAGCATTTGCAGTTGATTTCTCTTCCAATCGGCCAAATCTACAAGTTGGAGAAGAGGAAGAGGAAGCAACAATCAGAAGAATGCTAGCTGACATCAACTTGATGAGGGGACTGTGGGAGGTTAAAAACAAGCTTGTTTTAAAGTATGCAATTTACTACATTCAGGTTAGTTTAGCTTACTTAGATGAAGAAGATGGATGATGACAGGAAGCAGGAATAAATCAGGGAAGGAAAAATTCAGTGCAATTTGTCAAAGCACCAAGTCCAAATTGAAGCAGGAAAAACATACTCAAAATCTTTTTTTCTAACAACCACCACCTTTACAGAACATCTTTGGTCTACAATTAATTTTCAATTTAGAAACAGAATACCATAAACTTCCTTCTCAGTCCAGGTCCTATTGCCATTCATTGTTTATTAGGGAAACTCGTGCATGTTAGGGCAATCTTTTGCCTTAATTGCCACTAATACTTAGCCCGTATTGTCAAGTTCCTGCATTTCTCAACCCCTGATCCAATGCTCTGTATGTGATGTTTGCAGGTGGGAGCAATGAGAAGCATCAGACTCCCATAAGATGAGGGGATACAAAGCTGCACTACATTAAGAGCTTTATAATAATGCCCAACCTTCTATAGCCACAAGAGATGGTTTAAGATCCCCATCTCTTTCCAATTATTAGGAACAAGTGAATTCTTGAAGCCAGAGAGGCATTTTAATAACAGAAAGGCCAACTGGGGATGGTGATGGGGGGAGGCAAGGAACTGTAACTGCACTATGCTTGTATAAGGAACATGTACTTGGGAGCCAAAGCTGGTCTCCAACCACCCAGAACTACATGAGGGATCACTTTTATAGCAGGCACCTCATACTGAAGCAGGCAATTATCTAAAAGTTGTGTTTCAGGTGGTATCTCCACATCCTATAACAATTTAAATTTTTAAAATTTACCCATTTTCATCTAACAGAAAAAATTGAAAGGCAGAAAGCAAAAGCCACACTCACCTTGATTTCATACTTGTCGGCACTGAGGAGAATGTGATCTCCAGGGCTGTGCAACAGAGACTTGACCTTGCACTTCTGTAAAACCACCTGCAAATACGAAAAGTTTTTATTAAAGAAGTATAAGGTCTGAAGTCATGTGGTAGATTACACCAGACTGATGTAGCCTAAACCTTGTGTCATCTGCAAACTAATTACATATTTTCACTCACAACTAGATCGTCTAGGTGTTCAGCGGGATGATGACATTTCCAGTATCGGTCTCTTCTTTCAATAGCTTCAGGCAATATCATAAAACCAAAGGATTTAGAGCAGGAAGGGGCCTTAGACAATACCTAGTGCAAATTCTCTCATTTACTGATGAGAAAACAAAAGCTAGATCAAACAATATGGATTTTGAAATTTGACATGGGTCTCAGAGATGCTTCAGTACTTTAGAAGTATGCCTGAGGTATACAGTCAACTTTAACCACTAAGGAAAGTGTTATCCTGGGACAAGTCCCATCATAAGCAGCCACATTACTGGTAATCTGGTATCTAGAGAAGGGATGGGATGTTACTAAATCTCAGCATTTTTCAAAGCACCTGCTGCTGTGCCTCCAGATGCAAGGTTATATTTAGCTGTTAAATCCTGATATCTCTGCCAAACCACCCACAAATTAAGGTCAGAAGTTGTGCTTATTTAACTATGCTATGAAAATCTGGTAAGTGAACATAAAGACAGAAACAGAAACAGTCACTGACCACCTGCTTCCAAGGAAATAGGAGAATAAAGAAGGACATAAAGGATTCTCCTCTGGGAGAATGCCTGAGTGGATATTGTCAACTTACAAGCTATGGTACAGATTTTTGTTTCTGGCTTCAAAGATCTTTGAGAGCATTGAACCCAACCCTTGCATTTTGCAGATGAGGAAACTAAGGCCCCAAGAAAGGAGAAGACATGCTTAGTCACATAGCACAGACTCAAACCTAGAGTCCCACCAGTTCTTGTTTAGATGTCCTGCCCCATACCACCTGTCACAAGTCTTAAAAGCTACAGAAGACAAGGGTAAAATACCACAATGTTTAAATGGACAACTAGTAAATTCAGATTTGGCTCAGCAGCTCTCCTACCTTGGTTACCCACTCAGTATGTCCTGTGAGTGTGTTCAGGCACGTCCCCGTTGATAAGGCCCATACTTTCACAGTGAAGTCAGCAGAACCACTCACCAAGAGATCAAGCTCATCATTGTAGTCCACGCTGAACACTAAAAACAAAAAACAGAAATCCCCATATGTACAAAGATAAAGCACCCTCCACTGTCATATCCACACCCCTTTTTCTTGCTAAGAAAAGGAGACCTCCACGACTCATAGAGATTAAGTTTACTGTCCCAGAACTGCACAATTATGAAAATTTCCAAAAACCACTCAAAACTTAGTTTTATATAGTGCTACCACTATTGCTACTATAATGCTCCACTCAACTAGAAATTAAGAAGAAAATCCAGCCATTTCAAACCTCTGTTAGTTTTAAGGTTTGTTAACAATAGGACCAGGTGACCAATTCTCTTTTTAGTCATTCATGCCTGAAAGTGACATGGGAATCCAAATTGCAGAAACACCAACATTCTCCCCTCAGCACTACCTGCAAGCAGAAAAAAGACCACTGCACAAGCACCAGATTATCTGTTATATGCAGAGAAAACTGCTTTCAGTCATACAGAGAATGGCTTCTTAAACTTTCTCTACTCCCAACTTCTTCGGCACTTCTTAAACTGTGGGTTACAACCCCACATAGGATTGTGACTCACATGTCAAGAAGCCTGATTATAGAGAATGGCATTGTCACTTGGATAAAGACTGAGTGAAGAAAAAAACCAAACCCATCAATTTTAACTGTATATGGTTGTAAGAAAAAGTAGTAGAGGAAAAATGAATCACAGGGAGGGCCCAATTAGTGCAAATAATGAATCCTCTGAAGTGGTCACATTATTCAAACTCACAATGCATGTTTCCATTGGACCGAAACTAATTAATTATCTTATATATATATTTATATATAATAATGAGAATCTGAATGTATGTAACCACTTCAGGGGATTCATTATTTGTACTAATAAGGACCTAGCTGTACCTCAAAAATCAGACAAGCTTAATTCACTCAACAAGTATTTGTTAACAGACTATTAAGTACAGGCCATTATGACAGTCACTAAGGGAGATACAAAGATAAATAAGATACTATCCCTGTTCTCCTGGATATAAATAGCCATAATTAGGTCAATGTGTCATAGCGAAAGAGTAACGGTCTTGAAGTCAGATTATATAGATGCAAATCCAGATTCTGACCTGTGTGAGTAAATTACTTACTCTCCCTGAGCCTATATGTCCTATATGTAAAAACAGAATAATACTTGCTTTACAGAGTTGTAAGGAAAAATACTTTGTAAACTCTAAAACTCTATAAAACTCAAAGCTATTATTAGAATATAATAAAAGAAATATAAAGTGTGATGAAATCATACAAGGAAAAATCAGTACCAACTGGAGAAATAAAGGAAACATGCCTAGAAGACATAAGATTTGAGTTTTGTCTTAAGGATGGGTATGATTTTAATAGACAAAGATTAGATGGAGAGAGGAGTAATCTACCAGATCAACTCTAATCTTTGTCTGAACAAAATTCCAAAGATACCAAGAAACAGAGGCTTGAATCTCATGTTACAGTCAAATCATAGTTTTTCAAGAGAATAAAGGGAACAGAGTAGGTTTTATTCTTAATTCCCATCTCTAGAAGGTTATTTGAAATGCTTAATAAGGGAGTTTTTCAAAGGCCAAGAGCTGCACTTAGAACAATTTAGAAACCATTTGTCAAACTGCTAAACACAAAATAACCCATGAAGAAAACTCCACTGAAAAAGTGATACATTTCAGAAGTACTAGATTCCTCTAATTTGGAGAGAAAGCTTTGGATGAGGGAAAATTTTGGCAGGAATACTGAACTAGGAAGACCTGGCCTCTAGCTCTGGTTTTGCTACTTATATGACTCATGACCTAAGGTAAAATCATCTCTCTGAGCCTCAACCTCCTCAGTCGTGAAAAGGAAGTAACATCTAATCTACCAACTGCACAGTGCGGTGGTGAGGGTCAACCGATTCATCTTTCATACTGTTGCCAGGATGCTATTTCTTATGCATAATTCTGGTCATGTCACATTTCTGCTCAAAAAGCTTCAAATTCCTTTCGCTAATATCCCAAGACCTGTCACAATCTGATACAACCTTTCCAGTTTTATCTCCTACTACTCCTCCCTCAATGTACTCTATGGTCTAGTCTAGTCAAACACTTGACATCCCGAACATTTCCTACCCTCTCCTCTCAGTGCTTTTGACCATAATCTTCTCTGGAATGCCTTTCCTCCCTCTAGCTTTTGAATTTCTACTTTTCCTTTTCCTAGCTCAAGTTGAATGCAACTTCCTCTAGGAAGTCTTGCTTGATCTTTTAGACCAGTAATGATGATATTCTCCCTCGGACATGACATAGCACCTTGTCACACACTTCTTTGATGCATTTATCATGTGTATTGCACATATCTATGCCCTATTCCTCCTGTAAGCTCCATTAAGGCACAGTCAAGGTCTTATCTATATTTCATATCTCTACCAGTGTCTGGCACAGTCCTCTGCACTCAGTAGGTACTTAATCTTTGTTGAATAAAATGAGATAATTCATGGGAAAATCCTTTGTAAATTACAAAGTGCTATATAAATGTAAAGGATTTAAAAATTATTATTACTTGAGAATCCATGAAAAGGGATTTTATGAAATAGATTTCCATAATATTTTTAAGTTACGGGTAAATGGTCTGCAGATGAACCACAGCAAAATATATACCCACCATGTATAAGGAATAAAAAATAAGTTAGTTATAAGGCAGTACAGGGCAGTGCAAAAGGAAAGAAACTAAGAGTTAGCAGTATGACTTAACAGAAATTGGTGAAATAACTGAATTGCTGATGTTGGACAAATCACTTAACCTCCCTTGGTGTTAGTTTCCTCATCTGTAAAATGATAGGGGTTGAACCAGAATGGCCCTTGAGGCTCCTTCTAGTTTGACTTCTATGCAGTCCAGCAGAGAGGTTTAATCCCACATTCTAAAACCTCATTTCCCAAAGCTTAAAGAAAACCAACCTATATTAGCTTAGATCAGCTCCCTCCTTTTCTCCTCATCCCCATACTATGGGCAGGGAAAAAATTAAGAGTACAAATAAAGGGAAATGTCCTATACCAACCATGGAAGAAGAATGGCACATATAAAGGAAATTTTCTTGGAACGCAGACTAAGACATGGAATCAAAAAACCATACCTGCACCTGTGTGTCCTCGGAAGTGCTGGGTTCGGGCTCCTGAACTCCATTCCCAACAGGCTACTGTGTTATCAAAGGATCCTGTCACAAGCTTCTGTTCATCAAACTTCACAGCAGCACAAGTGTGGGTCTGGATGCCATATATGCACTGTCCTGTGCTCACATCCCAGAGTTTTGCAGACAAGTCATCTGACCCTTCCAAGAAAAACAAAAAATGAAGGGAATGTCAGGAACAGTCAAAGCATATACACAAAAAAGTATACCTAGAGTTATGAAATAATAATAGCAATAAGTAATAACAATTCACATTTACATAGTTCTTGAATTAATCAGATCATAGAATTCAGAGCAGCAAGGAACCTCAGATGTCATAGTCCAACCTGCCATTTTACAGATGAAGAAACTGAGGCCAGGGGAGTTTAAGTGACTTGCCCCTGGTCACATACGTAGTGTCAAAGGAAAGATTTAAACCCCAAGTCCTTCTTCAGAGACACTGTTCTTTCTATTGTACCACACTGACTCCCACAAATTTTTAATGCAGCAGTTCACTCACCACCACCCCACAAGAAAAGTATCAATGTCACAGTAGATATGGAGTCAGAGGCCTTGGATTCAAATACTGCTTTTACCACTACTACCTCTTTGACCTTGGCCAAGCCATTTAACCTCCCTGGTACTAAGCCGTCTCATTTTAAATGAGCTAAGTTAGATGACCCACGATGCCTTTTCGAGTAGTAAAGTCATTATAATCCTATGAACATTATTACCTCCTTTTTACAGGTGAGGAAGCTGAGGTCCCCAGAGGTAGTGAATGACCTGCCCCTAAATCACAAAGTCAGTAAATGGGAAGCCTGGGTTTGAAATCAGGATTTTTTTTCAATCATGTAAAACGTATTTCCACATTACTCATGTTGTGAAAGAAGAAACAGACTAAAAGAAAAAAAATGAAAAAAAAAATAAAGTAAAAAAAATAGCATGCTTTGATCTGTACTCAGACTCCATCAATTCTCTCTCCAGCTGTGGATAGCATTTTTCATCCTGAGTCCTCTAGGCTTGTCCTGATCACTGCACTGCTGAGAACTACTAAGTCAGTCATAGTTGATCATCTTACAATACTGCTATTACTGTGCACAATGTTCTCTTGGTTCTGCTCACTTCACTTTGCATTCAGTTCATGTAAGTCTTTCTAGATTTTTCTGAAATCAGCCTGCTTGTCATTTCTTATAGTTCAAAAGTATTCCACTACTATCATATACCACAACTTGTTTAGTCATTCCCCAACTGATGGACATACCCTCAGTTTCCAAGTCTTTGCCACCACAAAAAGTGTTGCCATTAATCTTTTTGTACAAATAGGTTCTTTTCCCCATTTTTGAAATCTCTTTGGAATGCATAGAAGTGGTATTGCTAGATCAAAGGGCATACACAATGTGATTACCCTTTGGGCATCGTTCCAAATGTTCCAGAATGGTTCACAACTCACTGTTGTGCATTAGTGTCCCAATCTTCCCATATCCCCTCCAACATTTGTCAATTCCCTTTTTTGTCATGTTAGCCAATGTAATAGGTGTGAGGTGGGAACTCAGTTGTTTTAATCTGCATTTTTCTAACTGATACTGACTTAGAGCATTTTTTCATGACCATATGACATTTTTTGGAGACAATGATGACTTCTTCTGAAAACTGCCTATTCATGTCCTTTGACCATTTATCAATTAGGATAATGATTCACTATTATAAATTTGACTTAGTTGTCTATATTAATGAAATGAGGCCTTTATCAGAGAAACTTGCTGTAAAATCCTCTGAGTGTCTCCACCCCCCCCCCCCCCCTTTGCTTTCCTTTTCACGGCTGCACTGGTTTTGTTTGTGCAAACCCTTTTAATTTAATGTAATCAATTATCCATTTTACATCTCGTAATGTTCTCTATTTCTTATTTGGTCATAAACTCTTCCCTTCTCCATAGATCTGACAGGTAAACTATTCTTTGCTCTCCCAATTTGCATATGTTATCACCCTTTATGTCTAAACCATGTATCCATTTTGATTTTACCTTTGTATATGGTGTAAAATGTTGGTCTATACCTAGTTTCTGCTATACTGTTTTCCAATTTTCCCAGCAGGTGTCAAATAGTAAGTTCTTGGGGCAGGTAGGTGGTAGAGTGGATAGAGCACTGGCCTTGGAGTCAGGAGGACCACAGTTCAAATCCCGCCTCAGACTTACAACACTCACTAGCTGTGTGACTCTGGGCAAGTCACTTAACCCCAACTGCCTCACCAAAAAACAAAAAACAAACAAACAAAAAAATCAAAGTGAGTTCCTGTCCCAAAAGCTGTGGTCTTTGGTTTTAACAAACATTAGATCACTATGGTCATTTACTATTGTGTCTTGTATACCTAATTTATTCTACTGACCTACCACTCTATTTCTTAGTCACTACCAGATAGTTTTGATAATTACCACTTTATATACAGTTTGAGATATGGTATGGTTAGGCCATCTTCCTTCACACCTTTTTTCATTAACTCTCTTGATATTCTTAACATTTAGTTCTTTCAGATGAATTTTATGATTTTTTTCTAACTCTACAAAAGAATATTTTGGTAGTCTGGTATGGGAATAAATAAATTTAGGTAGAAGTGTCATTTTTATTATATTGGTTCAGCCTATCCATGAGCAACTGATATTTTTCCAATTGTTAAGATCTGACTTTGTTTTTTTTTAGTGAGGCAATTGGGTTTAAATGACTTGCCCAAAGTCACACAGCAGGTGAGTGTTATGTGTCTGAGGCCGGCTTTGAACTCAGGTCCTCCAGACTTCAGGGCTAGTGCTTTATCCACTGCACCATGTAGCTGCCCCCTGACTTTATCTGTGTAAAAAGTGTTTTGTAATTGTGTTCATAAAGTTACTGGGTTTGTCTTGGCAGGTAGACTCCCAAGTATTTTATATTGTCTATAGTTGTTTTAAATAGAATTTCTCTTTTTGTCTCTCCTAGGCTTTGTTGGTAATATACAGAAATGCTGCTGATTTTTGTGGGTTTAGTTTACATCCTGCAACTTTGCTAAAATTGTTAACTATTTCACCTAGTTTTTTTTAAGTTGATTCTCTAAGTATATCATTATATCTGCAAAGAGTGAAAGTTTTATTTCCTCATTGCCTATTCTGATTCCTTCAATTTCTTTTTCTTCTCTCATTGCTATAGTTAACATTTCTAGTACAATACTGAATAATTGTGGTGACAACAGGCATCTTTGCTTTCACCCTGATCTTAATAGGAAGGCTTCTAACTTTTCTCCATTACAGATAATGCTCAGGATTCAAGTCCCATTTCAGACCCTTACTGGCTGTATAGCCATGGGCAAATCACTTAAATTCTCAGAAAAACCTATGTTTCTTTTCTGCAAAAAGGGGAGAATACTTGCACTAAGTAGATCACAAGGTTACTCTAAGTCAGGGGCTTGGCCAATTTTGAAGTGCTATATAAATAAGTGGTTAGCATAATAAGAACAGGGAGCAACGCAGTATGGATAGAGAACTAGTCTTAGAGTCAGAAATACTTGGATTGAATCTTGCTTCTGACACTTACCCTGGGCAAGTCACTAAACACCTCAAGCACCAGGCAATCCTCTCTTCATTGAAAATCAGGCTCCAATCTGTAATAGTAGAAGGAGCTCCCTCCCTGGGAATTCCCTATACCAATGAAATCACAGGTCAAGCGTACACCCCCCCAAAATCATCATTATAATTATTAGTAAAAGAGTTTTGGACCAAGTGATCTAAGGCCCATTCTAGCTCTGATATTCTATAATTCTATGATTTGTCCATATCTGAAATCCATGTTTCCTTAATATGTAATTTTAAATAGTTTTCTATGACAGTGAATATTTATACACGTGAAGGTTACTACTCTATAGTCCAGAATCTAAAACAGTAACTTGATAAAGCAAGGTAAATCTGTGTGGAGGTTAATCACCAATAGTTGCACAATCTTTCCCTCATCTGTTCTCATGATACTCTACTCCTCAAACACACATGGTTTTTTAATGTGTATTTATGTAACTGTCATCAGGTATTTTGGGACACGCCCTTCTTTAGAGATGGGGACCATGTCTCAACTACCTCTCTTTTTATCTCTTCCTGCACCTTGAATGTACCCAGAATATGAGAGGTGCTTAATTAAGCCAAGCTGAGTGGATAATGTCACCAGAAAGTTTCAAATTCCAAGATGACTTCAGCAGAGTTCCCCGTGCAACTTCATGGACTCATCCTGAAATGAGTGGCAGCACCCCAAATGGACATGAGGCATATTCCCCAGGGACAGTTGATAGAGTACTAGATTTAGAGAGTCAGAGGAACTGGAATGTAAATTCTGATCCTGCTATTTAATACTCATGTGACCTCAGCTAAGTCAAAAAGTCTCTCAGTCTCAGTCTTCATTTATAAAGGGGGAAAGAGAGAATAAGCATTTATGTAGCACTTGCTATGTGCCAGGCACTATGCTAAGTGTCTTACAAATATTATCTCATTTAATCCACACAACAACCCTGTGAAGTAGGTATTGTTATTATTCCCATTTTACAGCTGAGGAAACTGAGGCAAACAGGTTTAACTGACTTGCCCAGGGTTACACAGCTAATAAGTATGTGAGGTCACATTTGAACTCAAGGTCTTTCTGATTCCAAGGCCAGCACTTTTATCCACAGCACCACCTAGCCGTGTCATTTGTCAAATGCAGGAGACTCATTTTTCTGGACTAAATGATTTCTAAGATTCCTATCAACCCTAAACCCTATGAAAATGGCAAAGACAAAATTGTTAATTTGACTTAGGTTCTTTAGAGATAAAGGATCTTATATCTTACTATAGCTTAATGAGAACTTGAGAATAATTAGGACTTAAAAGAACACTGGATTTGGAGTGAGACAATCTGGACTGATATCCAGGTTCTATCACTTACCATATGTGTGACCTTGAGAAAGACTCTTTAATGTCTTTACCTCAGTTTCCTCCTCTGTAAAATCAGGAGGCTGGACACAATCTCTTTGGTCTTTTTTTTTTTTTTGCTTTAAGTGTATTATTCTATGATTCAAATGAGTTAAAGAAGCTTATATTAACATTTACTCAACCCCCACCCTGGGGTCATAACTCCTATTTATAAAATATTTATAGGATGGAAAGCACCATCCCCATAGC